ATTCTATCCCTAAGAGCAAATCACTCTAGCTCTTCTTCTAACATTTATTTTAAAACTTCACTAATATTTATTTAAATTTTTTTTTAATAGGATCTTACTATGTTTAAACCAGTAACTCACTTTTCTTGCTAAAGATTTTATTTGGTCTACTGAGTAAACAGAGATCCACCACACTGTTTTTAAAAGGTTGGATAGTATTGTATGGTATGAATGAATCACAGTTCAACCACATTTCCACTCATGGAAAAATGTTTTTAAAATTATTTTACTTTGGTGAATGGTCTTGCTCACATATCCTTGTGTACATGTAATAGCATTTTTGGATATAAAAAGTCCTAGAAATGGATTTGCTGGGTCAAAGGGTACATGCATTAACATTTTTATTAGACTGCATTTAAATTTTGAATCTTTAAAATTGGTCTGTAGTTTGAAATGACAGGAGTACAATTCTTTGTTGTCTCTTGCACAGCCATCACCAAGTCTAGTTCTTTTTAATTCCTTTGTCAGAAGTCAATGAGATGACAGTTTCCTGTCACAGGTTGGCATGTGATCTCAGGTGTTTTCAGTTTGTCAGTCCTACAACTCTAAAGTACTTCAGAAATAATTGTCATTTTTTCATGGGCAGGAAGGTGAGCTTTTTGATTTTTTTTCCCCAAGTGACATTAGTTTCAGATATCTTTTTGGAGTTTTGAGTAGGATTTAGTAAAATAGATAAAATAAGACTAATCTATTGTCCAATTCTTCCATCTGCTGAAGTGATTCTAACATGTTGGTGCTCTTGGGACAATCACCTGGGTTACCACCTGCAAGAGGCCACATCTGCCAATACTCATCTAAAGCAATACTTCCATTTTGAGAGGACAAAGATCACAGAGTTTCAAGAGTAAAATGGTGGTAACAGTAACCTCCTAGACCATCTAAAGTGATTTTTTTGCTTTCTCTAGACTCATAGATTTTTTTTTTTTTTGAGACAGAGTCTCACTTTGTTGCCCATGCTAGAGTGAGTGCCATGGCGTCAGCCTGGCTCACAGCAACCTCAATCTCCGGGCCTCAGCGATCCTACTGCCTCAGCCTCCCGAGTAGCTGGGGAGGCATGCGCCACTATGCCCGGCTAATTTTTTGTATATATATTTTTAGTTGGTCAATTAATTTATTTCTATTTTTGGTAGAGACGGGGTCTCGCTCAGGCTGGTTTCAAACTCCTGACCTTGAGCAATCCGCCCGCCTCGGCCTCCCAAAGTGCTAGGATTACAGGCGTGAGCCACCATGCCCGGCCTGGACTCATAGATTTTATTTTAATTTTTTTGAGACAGGGTGTCACTCTGTTGCCTGGGCTAGAGTGTGGATTCATAGATTTTAAAGTCTCTGTATTATTCATTAACTTGGCAATCTCTCACAAACTTACTTTGGAGTTTAAAAAAAACGCATACAAAATGCCAAGTTATGATTAAAATTAAGGAAAGCATCTTCACTCAGGAACACAATTTAAGACTTTCTTAGAAGCCACGCGTAAAATGTCCCTGGCCTAACATTCAAGATTCTTTCCAGCCCTAACATACTATAAATCTACTAGTTTTCAAAGAAAGAAAATAT